TTAGGGGTGAGGGAGTTTAGGGTTTAGGGGTTTAGAGTTTAGGAGTTTAGGAGTTTAGGGGCTCAGGGTTTAGAAGTTTAGGGGTGTTACTTTGGGTTTAGGGTTCAGGGCTTAGGGCCCTTGCAGGTTTAAGAGTTTAGGGGTTTAGGGCCCGTAGGGGTTTAGGGTTTAGGGTCTAGGGCGTTCGGAGGTTTTAGGCCTGCTTCTGTCTCCGTTAAGGGTTCCGTACAGGGTTCTGGTTTCGGGGTGGGGGTTTAGGGTTTGGGGGTTGGGGTTACTATAGGTCTATATGTTTAGGCGGTTTAGGGTTCTGCAAGAGGTTTCTATAAAGATTCAGAGGGTTGCACACAGGGGCCTGAACCGTATAGAAGCCTTAATGATTACCACGTTTTTGGGGGCTCCTTTATTAGCATTAAAGTATAATATACACGAAAGCCCTGTTCTAATTATTAAGGCCCCTACATTGATCGGAGCAGGGTTTCGGGGTGTATCACCGTATAATCATAGCGAGGAACCCTATGGTGATACAAGGGTTTGTATGAGGGTTCCAGTCAGGGGCTACTAGAAGATTGTGTGTAAGGGCTTTAGGGTTCAAAATTTTGGCGTTAGCGGGTTTAGGGCTTCAGGTTTGGGGTTGAGTTATGGTTTAGGGTACGTTTCTTCGAACGAGGCATTGCTTCTTTATAAGGGGTCCTAAAGGGGGTTTGGGGGAGTCCTGGGGAGCTTCGTTAGGGTTTAGGGTTTACTGTAGGGTTTTCTGATAGGGTTTTGGGTTTACCATCGTATAGTTACGCTACTAGTGCTTAAGACATCACCTGTTTCGTGTTCTTGGCGAGAGTGAATCACTGTTTGTGCCTGATCGAGTTTTACTGCAACCTTAAACTTTAAACCCGAGATAACCCCTACACCGCTAAGCCTCGAACCTTCAGCCCTAAACCCCAGAGACTCAGTGGAGGAACGATGCATAGCTCTCATCTGCCTTCAAGCATTTTTCCGTATGCTGCTGGCAAAGAGGGCTGTGATTTTAGTGCAGCGCCACTGGCGAGACAAGACGCCATTTTAGAACACTTTGCGCAGGGCATTGTGCCGCCTTCACCAGAGGTGCAGCGGTCTTTGCCGTCCCAGGCGGCCCAGACCCGGAACCCTAAACCCTAAACCCTAAACCCTAAACCCTAAACCCTAAACCCTAAACCCTAAACCCTATGAAGGGGCGCAAGCCAGATGGTTCTTACACTACTTGGAGGTTCATGGGTAGTTATAAGTGGGGGTTATAAGTAAGGTAGCTACAGTTATAACTCATATTAGGGGGCTTATATAACCCACTTATAACTACCCATGAACCTCCAAGTATTGGCTTGTTAGATGGACACACCTCCATGGCATTCTGCAGAGGTCGACGGAGGTGCTGGAACGCCTAACCTACGGTTTAGGGTTTAGGCTTTAGGGTTTAGGTCCCTAGAGAACTCCATACCCGATAACAAAAGCCATCCAAAGCTCTCTACGAAACAGAATCGAATTCCCAACAAAGGAAGTGCCAAGAAGCGTGTACATAGGCCCTCACAAGACCCGGATAAACCCGAATAAGAATCCATAATCTAGCGGGGCCTCGACTTTTAGCAACATTCATCGAATTATTCAGAAACTCACGGGCTCCAATCCCGTCAAGCAACCCCTTTGTGAAAGCCGTGTAGCGCCGCCTGCAAAAACCCTTAACCCTAAACGCTCGACCCTAAACCCTAAGCCCAAAACCATACAGTAGAAGCCTTAAAGTTGGAACATCATGGTCCTGGTCTTCAGGTAAAGTATAAGGGATCCTAGCGCTAATCCTCCCAAATCCATGTCCCAACTTTCTGGGCTTCACTGCACCCTAAACCCTAAACCCTAAACCCTAAACCCTAAACCCTAAACCCTAAACCAACAACAAAAAGGAGATGGACTACTCGCAGCGCAAGCGCTTGAACCTCGGGGAGCTGATCCACGAGACACTGGAGATCTTGGAGGCTCAGAGAAGTGGTTTTAGAGGATCTTTTCCGTTGGTTTTTATGGGGTTTTTTAGGGTTCTACATGCTTGTTGAAGGTGTTTTTGGTTGAAGAGGGTTGTTTTATAGGGGTTTGCTATATAGGGATTTTAGGTCGGCGCTGCCCACCCCAAACCCAAGAAGCTCAAAGGTTTTCTGCTCAGGGGACTAGCCAGGACATGTGCACCGTGCTCGGTAAAGACAACGGGTGTATGTACTACGTGGCGACCCCCTTGCAGCAAAGCCCCGCTGCAAAGGCCATCCTTAGCAGTGGGCCTGGCGTGAAGGAGCAGTATGCCCGCGGTTCCTTCTGCTATTAACTCCCCGCGAAGCTGTGCCTCACGCGGCGGCAATTCAGGTTCAGGCGGAAGACATAGTGCAGGGGCACAAGGTCCGGGATGGGCAAACCGAAATCAGTGCGGAGCTTGCCGCAACGGTCAAATCCACGGCGTAGCCACCATCGTCAGCTGTGCCATCGTCACAGGCGAAGACGTCGAAGCCACAAGGCCACAGCACACGCATCTTGGAGACATGCCATCCCACAAGAAGACGTACACTCTCGCTTTGCAGGACGTCGTTCCGCTCACAAGGTGCATCGACTCCTACCGACTGCCGACCACCAACCATGGGCGGTTTTGCGCACGGGACCAGACAACATGGCAACCCGGGCGGCACGACGAAAGAGGGCGCTGGAGCCCGTGCAAGACATCTTGCCGGAAGGCGATGCACAGCCGGAGCTTGGCGCCACCAACCGGCCCATCCCGTCGCCTGTGGCTTCTGGCGTCAACGACACGGAAAAGCTTCCGTCGATCGAGGCGGGGCATGAGACGGACAAGCCAACCGAAGAGGGCAACGAGTGACACCGGCGGAGCATCCGAGTTATGGGCGCACGTGAGCGCATGAAAACCTGTTTCAGGAGAGACCAACGCTGCAAGCGTAGAGACCAACGCTGCAAGCATAGAAAAGGTACCGCATCTGCTAGAACCACATAGACATACCATGCGAAGCTCAGTCACAGACTCGTGGGCCGCCCAAGCACAGCCTCCGGTTCTCTAAACAAAGCGTCGCCTCGCCTCACATCAGCCTTCCAGCGGCCAAACGGCTGCCACCGCGTACAGCTGCCTTCACGTCGAACTTTCTGCCTCTCGACGACTCCGACGAGGAGCACGGATCACGGACTAAGTCAGGCCGACTGCAACCGGAGCCCGGACTCGAGGGCGCACATACGTATCATGCAATAGAATGCAGTTGTAGCGAGATGCCGAAGGACTCAACAGGCGGCGCATCGACAGAGCAGAACCACGCCGGAGACCATGCAGGCCACCGCCATTGCTTCGGTACGTAGCCACACAGCAGTTTCGCATCAAGTTCGCTCTCACTACTTGCATGCAGAGCTTTCATGATACACGTGCGGCATCCGAACGAGAGGCGACTTTCGCCCGCCGTCGACAAGAACGTCGCACACGGAGCAGGAGCCGATTCCACCACACGGCGTCGATGGCGGAACTGGGGACCGTGGCACCGCAGACGCCGCGACAAACGTCTACGACGCGGGCCCGCTCCTCAACCTGCAAGGCCGGTGGATCTCAAACACCTGCAGACACGACACACGGCTACACCCAGGTGAGATTCGCTTGAACCTCGAGCTGGCAGAGTTCGTGCAAAGCGCTCTGTATCACCGCTTGGAGCCCGTCCTGCTGCGTGAATGGCAAGCCAGGTACGATTTCATCTACGATTGGCAAGTAAACGCGCAGCCGTCGAGAACCTACATGTACTACCCCAACCCCCCGAGGGATCGATAGTGTCGGCCCCGACCTGCATTCGCCAGCACAACAGATGCCTCGCGAAGTCCGGATTTACACAACGCCAGTCAAGCCTGCACCGGTGAAGAAAGCTGTCCCCAGGACCAAGTAATACCCAACATTCAAGCTAGCTAGAAGAAGTAGAAGTAGGGTTACGTGTATACAACATGGTGTGTAAGCTGGCTGCAGCTGTGGATATTTCACTTAGAATCCTGTGCCCATGGTTCAGTGTAGGTGACCCTGATGCACGCAGAACTATATCCGTCTCTCTTTTTAGCCCACTGTCGCTACTTGGGTGAGTTGAACCATACGTTCTTGCAAGATACGAATCTGCAGTATTAGGAGTTGTATTTTGTTTCTTAGTAGTCAGTAGTAGGATTAGAACGGTATTGTGCCCGGTTGTATACGGTTTTGGGACGGAGTGATGGCATACGGTTTTGCGACGGTTCTACAAGATCTTTGTGAGGGTTCCAGAATAGGTTGTACTTTTATCAAACGACTTCCTTGGTTTGGTGAGAGTTGCACAGAGAAGTTGTTCGTTGTGTTGTCAGGGTTTTACACGAGGTTTTCTCAAAGTTTGTAAGTGTTTCTCCATAAGATTTGGTAAGTGGTCCTTTATAAGAGTTTTTTGTCGGGCTCAACGGCAGTTACCTTGAACAATGCTGTGAGGGCTGCACTATACCAGGTGTCGTAAGGATTTGTGGGTTCTACAAACCGATTTTGTGAGGTTTGCTATTCAAGAGGTTTCATCGGGTTGTGGTGAGGGTCCCAGAAGAGTTTTCGTTTGGTTTTGCGAGGGTACGTACCCCGGCCTTTATATCAAAACCCATACCAAACCGTGTAAAGCCCTGACAAGCACAACAACCCAAGGAACAACCTTCTAAAGGAAATCCCATAATTTTTTGCACAAAATTTTAAAGCCTTAGCCAGCAAACGTTAGGAAACCTTTGTTGTTTCTCATTCGTTGCCCGTTCAGAGAAAACTTATCAATCTTGAATAAAGGTCCACGGCGGTGAGGATGCTTTCATCAACATCAAATACATGCCCCTTGGCCGCAAGTTGTGGTGCTTCGGGATTTGATGGTTTGTGTTGGATTTTGCTCCTTTATTACAGGGGATTTAGGGCTCAGGGTTTGGGTTTTAACACCCAGCGCCCTGCACTCTGAACTCTTTTAGGTCTGCATCGTGATTTTACCTGTGTAGTGTTTGAATTTGAGGCCATCGAGTTGGTAATTTCGAGACGAAGGTGATTTGATACCACGTCCTGGCATAGGGCGTAAATCGAAGCGGCGAAAATTACAGAGTTGGAGTGATTCGATGGTTTGCGGTGTCGGGCTCTTCGCCAGGCCTCACACAATGTTTTGGAATGAATGACCCGTTTCAGGCTGGGTGCAGGACTCGATTTTGCAGCTTGGGTCTAGCACGAACTCCCCGAACCCGAGATGTTGAGTTTGCTTTATAGAAAAGAAGTAAGTAGTAAGTATTCAAGGTCCACCCCCATAATTGCGCCATATTAAGTAATACAAGGGGCTTCTTTAAGAAATCTTAAGCCTTAATCCTAACACTCCAAACCACACAAAAACCAAGGGTGACTAAGTCTCCTGGGTTGCTGCAAACCTCTCGTTGACAGGAAACCTGTGCAATACATAATGCCATCCCAGAATCAGACTGCTTCGGGCTTTTATCTTACCACTCACTTAAGGGGTCCCCATATGATAAAGGGTTCGGAACACTTAATAACAGTACCCCTTTGCAGTCCTGTGAAATTATAATATACTACACCAACAGTTTTCTGATTATCAAGGCCCTTGTAGTACCCATTATAGTAAGCCCTTTCATGGAGCCTTTGACAGGAACCCTTACGCGGAGCTGCGGGCCTTGTGTACACCCCAAACCCTAATCCCCTAAATCCCTGACCCAAAGTCCGACGCACTACAACATACTAAAGTCCCAAACGCTTAGTTTAAATCTCTGCACCATCAACCTACATCCGTATGCCTCAAACTCTAAATCCCAAAGAATCCTGAACTCGTAGCATCCCGATCTCCAAAACCTACGAAACATGGTCAAACCTTACGATACTCTCGACAGCCCCATAAACCTCCAAGGACCTCATGAGCACCAGTAAACCCAAAATGGCCAAACCCAAACCTCTACGCCCTAAACCCTTAACTCCAAAACCCCTAAACCCGTAGCCCCTAAACGCCTAAACCCGACACCCTAAATCCCAAACACCTAAACCATAAACCTAAACCCTAAACTCAGGATCCCAACGTACGAGAGTTGCGTCCGAGCGTGAGTGAGGCGCCGGCGGGAAATCGTGGGGAGATCGGGGGACCACCGTATCGTCTTCAAAAGGGTTTAGGGTTTAGGG